GGTTTAATACTTCGTAATTGTTTCAACTCTTCATAAAGTTTCAATCCATTTATGTCCGAATTGTTTTCAGTTGTGAGAGCGGAGCTCAACTCCGGACATTTTGGCAAAAAAAGTGTAATGTTCGATTGAATCTGGGAACAGTCTAGCCATAGATTTTCATGATTTTTCAACTGCCCAAACGTTTCCTTGACAGCAGCCAGGGCAGTGAACCAGGGCAACTAGAATAACGAAAAAATCAGAGCAAAACTGTTGATGTTATATATACTGATTTCAGTAAAGCATTTGACAAAGTGTGCCACTCGTTGCTCATCTATAAACTTGATCTTCTTGGTCTTCCACCTAATTTTCTACGTTGGATCTCTTCATACCTCTATGATAGATCACAAAGGGTATTGTTTAAAAATACTATCTCTGACGTCATTGATGTTACTTCAGGAGTCCCTCAGGGTAGCCACCTAGGCCCGATTCTGTTCTTGCTTTTTATAAACGATATTTCTACAGATATAAAATTCTCCAAAATTTTAATGTATGCAGATGATGTAAAACTTTATAAATCGTACGTTTCAATTGAAGAAAGGTCTTTGCTACAATCAGACTTAAACAGCATGGCTTACTGGTGTAAAGTAAATCTTATGCCTCTAAATCTTAAGAAATGTAAAGTAATGTGCTTCTCGCGAAGAGCTGTTCTGCCAGTTTCTTATATAATAGGTAACCATAACCTGGAACAGGTATACAATTTTGTGGACCTTGGTATCACAATGGATCCTAAGCTTAATTTTAATCTTCACATTAATGTGACAGTCAACAAGGCTAAAGGTGTACTTGCATTTGTGAAACGATGGTCAAAAGAATTTAGTGACCCTTATATCACTAAAACCCTGTTTACAACATTAGTTAGGCCGATTCTGGAATACGGCTCGGTGGTTTGGAATCCAAGGTATCAAATTTACTCAGACAAGATAGAATCAATTCAAAAACAATTCCTACTTTTTGCTTTAAGAAATTTCCGATGGGATTCTCAATATAGTCTTCCACCTTATACGAGTCGCTTAAAACTTATTAACCTTCCTACCCTTGCCAGTCGCAGTGAAATGCTTGGTATAATTTTTATGGTTAAATTACTGACAGGCTCAATTTCAAGTCCGTCTCTTCTGGCTGATGTAAGCTTTAATGTTCCCTCACGCGTATCAAGACACTTTTGTCCCATATTTCTGAAAGCTTGTAAAACCAATTTTGAATTGCACGACCCACTCCATTGCTTATGCCAGGATTTTAACTCTCATTCCCAAGAATGATAGAATACAAGATTGCGCCAATCGAGCTGAGAGCAACTGGCCGTGACGTCAAAATATACCAGAATGAGAGAGCAAAATGAACTCGACAAGAAAAGGAGGAAGCATCGAACAAAAGGCAGTGTTGCCAAGTTTTGAATTTGAAAAAGCACCAAATTTTTATTGGTGTATTTTATGGACTTTATATGAATACATAGTTTTATTGTAAGGATGCCGATTCAAATTAATAAAAATCGATGTTTCTTGAACAACGGTCGATTTCTTCTGGCATGATTGAAGGTGCTGCACATGTTTCGTTATCGCTTATGATTGTCACTGTGCCATGATTTTCTTTACATTTTTGTAAAATTGCTTACCACACTTACGATTACTATAAATTTTGCTTCCATTTTTTTAAGATTTTCTAATTTGATGTCTTTAAACTAAAAACAAAAGCACCAAAAACGCACCAAGCACAAAACTCAAAAATTTTCGCGTTTTGAATACCCACTAAATTTGGTGCGAAAAGCATCAAGTTGGCAACAGTGAATGTAAACAAAAGTATTTTATGAATGGCGAATGGCGCGACCTTTATTTTCTGGATCGTGTCTCATTCCAGCTCGTTTGATATATCAGATCCGCTTTTCAGCATTAAGAAAGCGATACTCTCCTCTCTCAATAAGTGAATTATTGACATAAATACATAAAATCAGCTGATGAATTTAGTTCTGTAGCTGAACAGTTTTAGATCTCGACACTTAACAAACACCTGCCTATCGTGACTCGGCACAAAAATTTAAAATATTGGTTCCGTACGTCATGCGGACTGCGCCCCTCGTGCGGATGGGCGGGAATGGAGGGTAAAAACCGTTGGGATATTATTATTATTATTAAATTAATCTTATGGTCTGAAAATTGCAAACTCATCTTAACTTTCGTGATCGAACATCTCCTTCTTTGTTACTGTAGGTGGATAGAAATTCAGCGCAATTTTCTATCGAATTAGTGGCTGCAGCGATGTTTATGGTTGTACTCTGGGATGTCATTGAAAGTGGTCCATCTCTGGGTAGATACTCAGAATAGAAAATAGATGCGCTCAAGTTCACCAAAAAGCGTGATGCATGTTCAAGGAATGCCGTCCCCATGGTATGAATGGTGCTCTAGGATTTAGTTCGAGCACCCCGGCTTGATATCCATTCTTTTGTAAAAAACTCAAATTAATTTTGTTGTTTTTAAGAGTTTCGAGTAGAAGATTCGTCAGTCCACCACCCGCCGATGAAGAAAATTAACACTCGAAAATTGTTTGCAATAAAAAAATTAAACGCCATCACAGAATTTGTCTCCCCCCTCAATTTGGCGCCCTAAAGCCGACCCTGTCTGTGGTGCAAGAATGAGTCCCGGGGCACAAAAATAAAGTTGTCTTTTTACCTATAGGGAAGCAAGGGAAAGAACAGGAAGCCCCATAAAAAATATCCACAAAACGATCACGAAGACGTTCAGAAACTTTCAACCCACTTCATTTTTAATTTTAAATATATACTATAGATCATATAGATAAATATACCGAAATTTTTCGCAAAAGTTGCCGAAAAAAAATTTTGAAAAAGCACTCATCTCTTAGCTATTTATCTGAATCCCAAAAAATCTCGAACAAATCAAAAGTACATTCAAAATGCCACGAAAAAAATGTTTTTCTTAAATCCCTAAGAACTCCAAAAAGAAAATTATATCGTTTTCTGGTCAAAATTTTGTAAGTTAACATTTTTAATATCATAAAGAAATTATATTCTACAATGAATTTCCGAAAAACCTTCAATCGCCGTAAAAAATTCCGACAATTCTTCTTTTTAAAAAAAAAAACTCCAGCTTCAAAAAAACTTACACACGGTTTGCCTGAACCAACTTTAGATACAAAGTCATGGCACATCCGACACTATTTCATTATTTGTTTGCTTCTATTTTTTGCAAAAATTTAAGACTAAAAAGAAAATAATCCCCTGAACAGTTTTTGACAAAAACGAGTTTTACAAAAATAAAAAATTTTAGAATTTTTTTTGTTTAATTTTTCGATTCGTTCTTTTCTTTGAATTTCAACACCAGAATAAATGTGAGTCTGGGAATGGTATGTGAGTGTAAATATCAATTATATAAATTTAATTTAATTAATATTTAAAACTGAATTGCATGTTATGTTATGTTAATAAATCTTATGTAGTACAACTAATTTTTTGTGTACTTTAATTGATATTTACCTTAAATTTTATTCTACTGTTGAAATTCAGAGGAAAGAACGAATCAAAAAATTAAAAACCAAAAAAAAAATGTGCCATTTAAACTCGATTTTTTCAAAATCCTTCCATGGGATTATTAACTTTTTGGTCTTAAATTGTTTTGAAAAAAATATAAGCAACAAATGAAAAAAAAAAGAATATAGGATGTGCTATGACTTCGCATTTAAAGTTGGTTCAGGCCCACCGTCTACAACAAAAATTGGAAAAAAGTTTTAAATGCTTCATTTTCAAAAAATATTTAAAAAAAAAACACAGAAAAACTCCAAATTTATAAAACCCATTGTTGAGGCGATACGCATATCATCAGCAATTTCCACCAGAGCATAGTTCTTATATTTTACTCGTATTAACGAAATAAACTTTGCGCTCTTGCCTTTGTGCCTCAAATTGTAATCAATTACGCGCTAATTACATACAATAAATAAATAAATCGAAATCATTCTTAGAACATTTGGGAAACTTCGCAACTGGTGCTAATTGGAATACCAAATCAAAATAGAGACTGCAAATTGCTACAGAAAACCCATTACCGACATACATGCATACAATTTACTTATACGTATAAACTAATGGATAAATGAAATTCGAGAAAACACTACTACATAGAATTAGCTGTATGTAACGATATGCGTAGAGGGGCGTCGAAAATGAAATTAGAGTGAAAGGAGGGAAAATTTCGCGGAGTATAAGAAGCGGATGAATCCAACAGAATACTAATACGCGAGTGCGGTTTTATATTTTCTCATAAAATTAATAAAATTTCTTGTGCATTTATTCGAATAACTTACCACTATAAAATAAAAACTGTGTGAAAGATGAAAATTTGTGGTCAATATCTTGGGCTCGCCCAAGTCTATTAAAGTTCAATGTGCTAAAAAAATTCAAATTAATAAATAAATTAATTAATAATTTTTTATACTAAAATTTTAATTATCTTCGAAATTATCAGTCCAACATAATTTGGTATGTGGAGCTTTTTTGCACATAATCGAAGTAAGCTAAGAACAACTTTTTTTTACCACTTGAACTTTTATAGACTAGGGCGAGCCTAATATTGACCAAAAATTTTATTTTAATCGTACACACAAATTTTTTTTTAGAGCATAATGAATCATATTTTTGCTATTACCAATCAAAATTCTAAAAAAGCGCACCACTCTGCATTGAATTAGAATTCACCCCAAATCAAAGCTTATTGTTGAGTGCATGGATTCAAACTGATTATTTTCTAATTTCAATACTGTTTTAAATCACATTAAAATACTTCCCTAAAATATTTACCCTAAAAAATTTATACCTACATGGATGTACATTACGGTGGTCCAAAAATGTATGGGAAAAAATAACGTCAGAATTTAAATGCCGCCCTAGGATTGTTGAAATTTCTGTCCCTCTCTCTCGCTAATTTGAAATTGTAAATAAAATAAAATCTAATAAATTCAAGCAATATACATATACATATACATTTAAAATTCCATTGTTTAATTTCAAAGAAAAAAATTAAACAACTCTTAATTCACACGAATGGTGAATACTTATAATTCAGCTCTTCTTCTAATTTCACTGTGCAAGCGCGTCTTGAGTTATTGCCATCATTCTTCGATAATTGCTGACTCAAATTTTTCAGCCTGAAATGATTAGAAGCAAGTATGTTCATATTTTCGTATATATTAAGATTTTTCATGAAAAACAAAAAAAAAAAAAAAACTCACCCATCTGCCAAACCATTCGCGATGCTATTTAACTTATCTACCTTGGCTTCAATTAGATTGAATCTAAATTTATGAGAATAAGTAAAAGGTGATATCCTGACGTATATGTCAATACATATAATCCTTCACATTTGCATACCTTGTTTGCATCCTGCAATTTGAGCGCACATCAACACAGAAAAGGAAAGAAAGAAAAATGCCATTTTGAAATCAAAATATTTCAATGCGGATAGATATTATAAATTTATATTACTCTTTCAGCGCATCTGCCATGTCAGATTTGAGACTATTCAAATCATCCTTTATGCTCTTAAACTCACTGCCGCCATCAAGGAATATTGTAAATGGATCCTCGCTTGAAACGGAACCAAAGTAAATTATACAGAAAAAACCGAAAAATTCCAACGACGCATTAACAATCATCTTGCTATGCAATTCACGTACTGCGAAATGAAATTTATTTTGCTAATCCCATATTTCTGCTGCTAAGCGATGCAGTTTTTTTATCACGAAACGCAGCTTGCAGGCTGAGAAGCGCATTTAGTGTAAAAATAAAAAAACTTATATTGTATAACTCAAATAGTTTCAACTAATTCACACGAGCACTTAATGCAGGCGGATTGTTTCTTATTTAGCTACTTTATCAGCTTTTTATTTCATACGAATTTTATGTGGTTCCGATATAAGTAAGTATATATGGATGGGGTGATTCCACCGTCACTCGCGTTACATTCGACAAAATTATTTAAAAAATTTTAAGTTAGAGTTTACTTATTCGAATATAAGTATGAACGTAAAGATATTTTATGATTATTATATTTTCAGTGAAATTCTTGTAACCCCCTATATTTTCTTCACGCCAAAGCAGGTTCTCCTCCTATGCGATACAACTGACAGATATCATTATTTGTTATTTACCAAACACAAAAAAATATCGATTCTGCATACTGAAATACGAACAAATTTATATAATGGTAATCTACTAGAAAATGATCGATATGTACGCCGATATCCAAATTTTAAAATCTCGCCAAAAACCTATAAAAATTTACTTTGAACTACTACCCTATCTGGCTGGATGAAACCATTGCAAAAACAATTTTATTGTATGAGGTAATTTTCGCTTAACGCCAATCTGCCGTTCCGCCATCGGGCAAATGAGCACCGGTTGCTCCTACAATCCGTCTTTTGAGCACTCGCCGACTTTTGGAAACTTCGACCCCATGAAGATGGGGGATCGGTGCGTATCGAGGCTGGCTTATGATAGGATCCTTCTCTACACATAACTCTTTGGTTCTCATCTTAGTGATTTCATGTTTAGACTTTTGGAATTTTGCAGCATTTTTAAAGTAGATGTTGCGGCCATAACTGTCTCCAGTTGACGGGCTGCATATTTTATGAAAGGGGCAGCATAGGAGTTCCTGTGGTATCCCGCGGAGTGCACCTAGAATCATGGGTTTTCAGTAGTCTCAGCGATCGCTGAGCGAAAAGCTGGCATACAAAGCTGCAGAGTCTTTCTGGTCAGTAGTCAATCGATACGGCCGAAAGAGCTTCTAGCTAGCTAAGCGGTAACTTTCGCGTCCGACAGTAGTACTGACCGGGCGCTCTCCTATAGGAAAAAATGCGGTATGAATAAGAATTAGAATTTCCTTATCAAATTTTTATGATTCGCAAAATCAAGTTTTAAATATTTGTACTCGTTCATCGTATACGCTGCTCCCGAGGAGCTCTCTGTCGGGTGTACATCAGCTGCCGGTTTTACTTCATGTTGATTACTCAGCGATTTTTCAATGAAATTGATGTGAATGAGCTGCTCTGTTTTCATAGCAATGCGCAATGACAACATCTGCCTTTACTTTTTTTTTGTAAGTTTTAATTTGTGTTGTTTGTTTTCTCGATCTAATGGCAGTTAATACGAGGGATGTGTCCAAAGTTCTGGGAATTGTGCTTTAATTAAATTGCGCTCAACTTATAGGCAGTGTTATTAGTGCCAAACAAGTCTTGGAATGTTTATGCAACTATCTAATTTTTGTGTTCGACTGGTATAGGGCCAATTTCACAGTGCGTAGTTAACTCAGAATCGGCAGTTAACTAGAGATTTTCAGTACAATGCGTTTTCATAGCATTGCTTTGTAGCAATAATTTTCTTTTTGCGGAAAGGTGTGAAAAAATCAGAATTTATTCAGCGGACCACTGAGGTCTGGAAAATGGCTTAAGCGTACGTTATTGCAACAGGATAATGCAAGATACCACACACCGCAAGAAAAACGAAATATGTTTTGGACGATATACGATAGGTATTGCTTCCGCACCTACCTTATTTTCCGGATTATAATCTGTTCCCAAATTTGAAAAAACCCTTACGGATTGTTCGATTTGAAAGTTTAACTGACGTAAAATGTGCCATAAATAGTTAGAACGAAGAGACACCGAGAAACTTCTTTGAGGACGGCTTAAAAAAATTAGTGTATCGTTGGGATAAATGTATTTATTCAGTTTAATGGAGATCATGTTAAAAAACTACATTGCAATATTGACGAAAATTAACCAAATAAAAAAAAATTATAGCTGAATTCCCAGAACTTTTGGAAACATCCCTCGTATGTATTCTTATCAGCATTAGAATTTGAGCGGATTACTGCAACTGTCAATTAAATATGAAAATATTGTAAAAGTAAAGTTAGCCATGTAGCTACACGAAAAATTAAAATATGTAAACTAGGGTGGTGCAAAAATGCATATGTAATAGTAAAGTTGGAATTTTCATGCTCTCAACCCCTAGCATTGAAATCAAAAAATATTTAGAGGGCGCTCAAAGGGGGAAAAAAACTTTTCGTAGAAACGGTATATAATTGTAGAAAATCAATATTTTTCGATCGGAAAGCTCTATTTCTCTTAACGAGATTCACAATAATAATACCATTTTTTTTTTATAAAAAAATAACAAAATAATTTCAGCGTGAAAAACAATGTAATTAATAAAAAGAAAACAGCAGTGTATGTGTGTATGTTTAGACATTAAGAACAAATTTTAATAAGGCTGGAAACCACCATGAAAGTCATTGTTGAGGCAATACGGATATCATCACCAATTTGCACCAGAGCATAGTTCTTTTGGTTCCTATCGTTTGCGCGCTTGCCTTTGTGCCTCCAACTGTAATCAATTACGCGCTAATTACATACAATAAATAAATAAATGATTTCATGCTATCTTAGAACATTTGGGAAACTTCGCAACTGGTGCTAATTGGAATACCAAATCCAAATAGAAACTACAAATTTCTATAGGAAACACACAAACGATATACATATAATTGTGCTTAAATACATACATATGTACAATGTACATTAGGGTGGTCCTTAAAAAATCAAATGAAGGATTTTTTTTAGGCCTCACCCCTTCAATCGGTAATATCACTGTCGAATATATCACATATAAATTTTGGCCCCGTTTGGAGTGGTTTAAGACGTGTCGCAAAGGGGTCAAAAACCAGATGCGTCTAAGGACTAAAAAAATTTAAAATATTTATAGCTTTCATGAGCATGAAATGGTATTATAACTTTGGTCCGATGTTTGTAAGTACCAGAACAAAAAGAGATAGACCCATCAAAATGTATACTTATATGATCAGAACGTCGAGCTGAGTTGATTTATCCATGTCCGTCTGTCCGTCTGTCCGTCTGTCCGTCTGTCCATCTGTCCGTCTGTCGGTCTGTCCGTCTGTCTGTCTGTTTGTATGCAATCTAGTCTCTCAGTTTTCGAGATATCCGGATCAAATTTGGTAGGTGGGTGTATTTTTATAATGTATTAATCATTTGTCGGAACCGGAAGAATCGGACCACTATAACATATAGCTCCCATACAACTGATTGTTCAGATATGAGATTTTTCGTTATAACTTCTCCATTTACGCAGCTACGAACATGAAATTTCGCAGCACTTGCACCCATTATCAACAGAATGCTTATAGTAAAAATTACAAAGATCGGGTCACTATAACCTATAGCTCCCATACAACTGATTGTTCAGATATGAGATTTTTCGTTGTAACTTCTCCATTTATGCAGCTACGAACATGAAATTTTGCAGTACTTGCACCCATTATCAACATAATACTTACAGTGAAAATTACAAAGATCGGGTCATTATAACCTATAGCTCCCATACAACTGATTGTTCAGATATAAAATTTTGCGTTATAACTCCTCCATTTATATAGCTAGGAACATGAAATTCCGCACTGTTTTCAATAATTATCAACAGAAAACTTACAGTGAAAATTAAAAAGATCGGGTAACTATAACCTATAGCTCCCATACAACTGATTGTTCAGATATGAGATTTTTCGTTATAATTCATCCATTTATGTAGCTAGGACCATGAAATTTCGCGCTGTTTTCAGTCATTATAACAGAAGACTTACAGTGAAAATAACAAAGGTCGGGTCACTATAACCTGCAGACCCCATACAACTGATTGTTCAGATATGAGGTCTTTTATCATAACTCCTCCATTTAAGCAGCTAGGAACATGAAATTTCGCACCACTTTCACTCATTATTTACAGAATACTTACAGTGAAAATAACAAGGATCGGATGACTACAACATATATCTTCCATACATCTGATTGTTCAGATATGGGATTTTACTGTAAAACTCCTTTATTTGAACAGCTAAAACCGATAAATTTCGTAAGATATTTTATAAATAATAATACAAAGTCTACTGAGAAAATCATCAAAATCTATGCTGTATAAGCTTTATCTCCTATAGCACTGATTGTTCAGATACCAGTTTTTGCCATATATCTCCTTTATGTAGGAAACTAAACCCAATAAATTGTGTTACCGGTTTACATACCGATCACATAGCAGTGAAAATCACTTAGATTGGTGCCATATAAAGTATATCTTCCATACCTCTGATTGTTTAGATGCGATTTTTTATATAAGTATGTAACTCCTCTATCGATGTATGCAGATGTATTCAAAAGCAGTAATCTGTCAAAGTAAAATTTGCAGATGTTCATGAAAGGTATGAAGCCTTCGGCATAGCCGAAGACAGCGCTGCTCTTACTTGTTTTTCTTTCATTTAATGCCCAAAATCAATACTGCTAATGTCGCGGATATCACAAATAAATTTTAGTTCCGATTGGAGTCGGTTAAGGCGTCTTCTTAGGGTAATCGGACCTTTGTCCCCTGTGCGATACACCTTTGCTTGCCACATTAAAGACCACCCTAATGTGCATACATACAAATTTATGTATACGTAAATTACTGGGTAAATTAAATTGGAGAAAACGTACCACTTTCATTTAATTAGCTGTATATAAAGATAAAGGGGAGTCGAAAGTGAAATTGAATTGAAACGATAACTGTACTTTTCGTGGACTTTACGCATCTCGCTAAATAAAAAAATAAACATATATCTTTCAATTACTCTATAAATTTCGATGACTCGCTGAATTTCAATAGCTCCATAAATTTCGATATCCATCGACAAATCTCGATAGCTTCTTACACCCTGGTAACTGATAAAATTCGATAAACCGATAAACTGTGCAAACTTGATATACAAGTAAAGCCCTAGAAATTTTGATAGTTAGTTTGAAAATTCTAAAAACTTCGATTCGACAGACCTGGAAATTTCGGTAAATCAATAACTATCGATAACTCGATAAGTTGAAAGAACTTTATACATTACGATAATACGGTAAATTTCGTTAACTCTATAAACACTAATAATTCAATAAAGATCGATAACGCGACTAATTCCGTTGAAAAATTGCGGTAATTACATAAATTTGTATAGCTCGATAACTGTCCGTAAATTTTAACAATTAAGTTTCTGTGTCTATAAATTTCAACAACCCATTAACAATTCTTCAATTTGAATAACTGAATAATTTTCCATAACTATAAACTTTGATGATTCGAAAAATTTTGATAATTATAAACTTAGATTATTCGATAAATTTCGATAACTATAAACTTCGATGGCTCGCTAACTGGTTAACAGAATTTTTGGTAGTTGGATTTGTTCGACTCTTATAAAAAATTTTAATAAATTTCCTCAGTTCTTATGTATTTCCCATTGATTTCATTTTCATCTTTATCTTCAATTATGTCTTCACTTTTTTATCGATTATTTCTTGACAAAGCTTAATTTCAAATAAGTATGAAATCAAACAAAATGCGAAAGCAACTCAAATTGAACAGGTTGCAACAACACCTAAACACAAATACGAAAATTTTTTATCAACGGGTTTGGTAGAATCGCCAGAACGAATTAATACATATATAGATTTCTTGCGCATTTATGTGAATAACTACTCTGCATTTTATAAAAAAACGTCGCTATTCAAAGCTTATAATTTCGTTCTTTTTCTAATTTCACTGTGCAAGCGCGTCTTGAGTTATTGCCATCATTCTTCGATACTTGCTGGCTCAAATTTTTCAGACTAAAATGATTAGAGGGAAGTATTTTCAGATTATTTTAATGAACAAAAAAAAAAAAAAAAAACAACAACAACAAACTCACCCATCTGCTAAACCATTCGCGATGCTAATTAACTTATCCACTTTGGCTTCGATCTGATTGAATCTAAAATAACGAGAATAAGTATAAGGTCATATCCTGACTAATGTGGCAATACATATAATCTTCCAGATTTGCATACCTTGTTTGCATGCTGCAATTTTAGCGCACGTCGACACAGAAAAGAAAAGATAGAAAAATGCCATTTTGAAATCACAATATTTCAATGCGAATAGATATAGTAAATTATATTACTATTTCGTTGCGTCTGCCCCGTCAGATATGAGACTATTCAAATCATCCTTTATGCTCTTAAACTCACTGCCGCCATCAAGGTATATTGTAAGTGGATCCTCGCTTGAAACGGAACCAAAGCAAATTATACAGAAAAAACCGAAAAATCCCAACGACACATTAGCAACCATCTTGCTATGCAATTCACGTACTGCGAAATGAAATTTATTTTTCTAATCCCATATTTCTGCTGCTGATCGATGCAGTTGTTATCACAAAACAGCAGCTTGTAGGCAGAGTGTGAAAAATAAATATACTTTTGCACTATAGGTCGAATAGTTTCAACTAATTCGGACGAGTCAGATTGTTTCTTATTGACCCACTTTATCAATTTTTTCTTATCAATTACATATAGTTTCTACATACGTAAGCCCATAAGTACATACATACATATGTACATATGTATTTACATAGTATCTCCAGTATACTGGGAGAACGTTGTTACTGAGAACCACGAAATGCGAGAAAGAACTTTACGGATTTCAGTTACATTTTTTTCTTAAACGAAAATAAAAAAATATTTAACTAACAGATAAAAGATGAAACAAATATTATTTAGAGGAAAGAGCTTTATCAAACCTTTATTCAGAGTGTTTATTTTCCGGCAAAGTGGAAAGGAGTATAAAACCATAGTACATCCATATTATTATTGTATGAGGTCTTATTAGCATAGCGTCATACTTAGCATCGTACCCGTAGACATTGCAGGTGGGACTGCCGCTTACCGCCGTTCGGCCATCAGAAAAACGGGCACCGGTTTCTCCTTCAACTTGTCATTGATCTCATACTTAAACATAAGGATCGGTGCGTTTCGAGGCTGGCTCCGAATACGATCCTTCTCTACGCATAACTCTCTGGTTCTCATCTTAGGCAATGTGTGATTCCCAGCCACTGGAGTAGAGGTCCGGTTACAGATGAATTAAGCTTGGAAGGTAGAGTCGGAGAAGATGTTTCCTGTCTGAAATTCTTCACGGCAATCAGGGGCCTTATGGACGAGCGAAGCTTCCTTCCCGGTCCCGGTTGTATTGCTTCCTAATCAGGCTTATTTAGAATCTGTAGCGCAGTGGCATTGCAAATAACAGAATGCAAAAATAAATTGGCTAGGCAGACGAGCACTGTGATGATCTTTTAAGAAAGGGAGACTATAGGAGTTCCTGTGGTAACCTGCAGACTTCACCTAGACACATGGGCTTTTATCGATTAAACCAGGGAGCGTGGCACCTTCCATACAAACGGAATTTTTCATATTGCATATCTCAGGAAATGCTTGTGATAGAGTACTGGAAATTGGTATGGAGATATGTATGTATATTAAATCAATTCCATACTCATGGAGGAGGGCTTAAGAGGAATTAAGAGAATTATTTATTTGAGAATTATATAAAAAATGGATGTCAAGAGGCTTAAAAAATTTGTAGTTTGAAAATATTTTGGAAAAGGTTGCCACCTGTTTAAAGAGCCAATTTTAAATTAATTACATATTCGCAAGTTATCTGAAAAATTAAAATATGGGTGTCTAACGAAAGATTGTTAAGAAACCCTAAGGTTGAACATTTAGAATATTATTGAGGTGTTTTGCAAAGGTTGCCACCCGTTTAAAAATTAAATTCCATTAATTTAAATTAACTACTACAATATGGGTATCAATCGAGAGGCCTTTGATAAGGGTTTTAGTTCTAACAGAAACGTAGGAGGGTTGCCACCTGTTTGAAATAACAAATTCTACTTGAATAAAGGTAATACGATAATTGGCATATGTATAACAATGTGTGTGTCAGACGAAAGGGTTTTATTTAATAAGGTTTTAGTTGGAAAATATTTCGAAAATGGTTGCCACCGATTTTAAAAGTCGCATTTAAATTAATTATAGTCAAAGTAAAAGTAAAGTTTAGAGATGTTCAACTTGAACATGTAGAATTTTTTGAGGTACTTGAAGAGGTTTGCTACCTGTTTGAAAAAAAAAAATCAAACAAAGTAGTATTACAAGTTACTATTGTTATTACAATATAAGTTTTAATCGAAAGAGGCTTGGAAAGGACTTATTTCTTAGCTACGTATTTATAGCAGGTCTACACGTGTTTGAAAATTCAAATTCAACTTGAATTATAGGAGTATCAGACGAAAGTGGTTTAAAAAAGTTGCCAACTGTTCCAATATCTCCATCAGTACTTAATTTTAAGCATGAAAACTTATATTGCATCAAAATTTGTCTAAGCTGACTTAGGCAAGTAGTCGTTAAAAATATCCGTCGAAGGCATTAGAAAAATTGCATACCCAGAAAATGCTCTACTTGCATAATTTATTAATTCAATATTTTTCACTTAAAAAGACCTGGATTTTTAGTAAAATTGTCTAAACATCTTTTATTTGTTCGTTTGAAAAAGAGTGATAAATCTCCTCCCCTACTAAAAATTTATACAAAAAGGGACTGTGAATTTTATTAAAATAAATATTGGTTTCTCTGCGCTTAAATTGAACCGAATATCTACATTCGACTACCGTGCATAAGCTTAGTAGATAATACTCAGTTTCCCATACATAAACAGCGATATATGCCTTACTTCGAACATGTCATAATCACATCTGCATGTATTCAAATGCACACACATACTGACATGCATGTATATGTATGTACATACGAGTACATGAAGAAACCAAAGGAATAGGAATAGGCTGAAGCCAGCATGTGTCTATTTCAGTCACCAGCTGAGATTCAAAATCCAATTATTCATCCATGATTACATGGAGATGTCCTTATCGCCGACATACAGCACACATGTCCCCGTCCTATTTGGTGACCAACTGCTATTGCTGGCCACCGCTACCTAACAGGCCGGTAAACCAATAAAACCGAACAGTACTGGACAGGCAATGTTCAAAGTGGAACACAGTAAGAACAATGCATTGGTATGGGAGTATTGCAGCTAGGCATGTACTATATACATACATTAGGGTGCATCACTCTCCATACAAAAAACAATCGGTATTATTTTTCCAACGGAATTATACAATTTATTATAGTTATTTAAAACTTTCCCCATAATATCTCGGAAAAATATTAAAATTTAATTCAGCTGGACTGATTTGAAAATACCTACAAAAATCTTGATATTTTTATATAATTGATAAAATGTTCAAACATTTTTATGCAGACGTTTCAAGGTTTAACTCTTACATATATCGGCTGAGTTGATTTTTTGGGAAAAAAAATTTTAGAAACTATTTTTATTTAGTTTTTTGGGCCATTTCAAATCGGTCTAGCTCACATAACTCCTAACATTTTTACGAAATATTTTGGCGGCAGTCTTTAAATATAACAAGTTTTATGAATCCGTTAGAAAAACCACGACTTTTTTTTGCTGAGGCACCCTAATGTACCTACATACATGTAGTGCTGTTATTCATGTGCATGTGCGTTGGTTTATTGGCTAACTCTGTATGAGCCCATTGATATTAGTTCTATTTGATGCACACCTGCTGTTGGCTGCTGTCATACTAAAAGCCGCAGTGGGGAAGAACATGCAAAACAAAAGGCTCAAGTTTGAATAAATTGCTTCGTATATATCTATGATTAACGTGCTACCCAAAAAAAATAGTAATAAATAAATAAAAGCAATACTACATACATACATACATATTTTTTTATCAATATATTTGTAATATTGTTTTATAAATTAATCCTTTTGTGATTTATTGGCATATTCCCAAGAAATTTTTATGTGGCCATAAATAAGGTGCATTTATAAGTTTTCTCTTAATAGCGTCCTTCAAGATGGGCAATCAGTACCAAAATTCAAAGAATATGCCTGCATTTTTATAGGAAATAGAACTAGTAGTCATTTGAAATAAAAAAAAAAAAAAAAACCTTGGTGGCTTTCTGCTATTGAGCGTTGCTTCATAGGAGATTTACTTATATATAAATTGCAGATACGAATACACTAGGGATTTTGAAAAAAACTTCCAATCTGAAGTACCTGCTACACCGTGCGACAAAAACAAATAAATTTCGAAACACATGAGGCAATCAATATACCTACTCACGAAACTGTGGGCCAAATTTTAGTTTTTCTCTCTCACGTCAGGATTTTTCTTAAAAGGACTTTGTAATTTCATTATGATTACTTCCAAAAATTATTCAAAAAATTCATTCCAATGTAGAAAAACAGTATGGATACCAAATGGAATAGAAAATTCTGTAGAATTATAAAAAAACTTAAATTTTCTGGTTCACTATCAAATTAAAGAAAAAATTCTGTAGAATTAAGGACAAATATGTA